GCTTGTTCTCTCCCCTCCGCCCCTTTCCTCGCACCAGTTAGCTACACCACTTCATAACTACTGTCCAAGTCCAAATAACCATCTTCTCACTTTCACACAAGGATCAAAACTACAGTTCCTGATGGATTTATTAAATCCACTAGCTAGCCGACATTTAAAACACTCTGTTTTCTTCAGAGGCAGCAAAGTCAGAATGCTTTCTCAGCAATTAAATGGCTCCTCAAGAAGCACAGCTACTCAGAGTTTGTGTGTGGCTGCGTTATTTCCCCAAAAGCCAAACAGTTATGCTCTGCTGTACACTCAGAGAACGTCGGCTTGTTTTACATCTGGAAATCTCTTTTGTTTGCTCACTGCACTAAAGGAAATGACAGTAGGAAGAAGGCAGCAGAGCTGTTTTAAGGCAGGGACTCACTGAGCAGATAAGCTGGAGCTGTGGACTGTGAGGACAAAACTCTTTTCTTTCACTGCAGATCCAAACATGTTCTGGAGCCAGATGCAACACAGAAGAGAAGCATATCACTCCAGGTTTCACGTTGATTACTGAAAACATTAAAAGCCAGGCTGCTCCTATATCTCAAAAGACCAACATTAATTGTCCCCATTTCTGTCCCAGTCTGAGGGCACGTGTCTGCCCGTGCATTAGTAGACGGCGTATTCAAAAAAGACCAGTATGTTGTAAACAATTTCCACTAACGTCATAATTAGACTCTCCGCGTTCAAAACCTTCAAAAGAGTTTTCATCAGCCCACCGCAAAAAGTACAGCTTGAAAAGCCTCTTCATTTATTCCATCAAGGAACTAGGTACGAGAGAAGAAGGAAGCCACGTAAAGACATCCTAGTCTAGCTGCTCCAGGGAGCAGCATATCACACGCTCTATTGCGGAGACAGCAATGAATGGCAAGAGAATAGTCACTGCCACGCAGCACGCTTTCCTTAGTCTAACTCAGACTCCTCAGCGAGCCTGACACGAACAGCCCCTCCAAATTCACCGACAGCAGATGGCATTTTCTTTACGCACTTCAGGCTGCCTTTTCCTTCGCAGCATTGCACAGGCACATTCATCAACAGCTCTGCACTTTCTACCCTAAAGGCCAGGCTGGCTCTAGCTTGCCCGAAAACTTACTCCTCAAGCTGCAGGAACCAAGTTTGCAAGGCTCAGCTGAAACATTAACATTCAAAGTTATAACTTCCCATTTTCCAACAATCCTGCTAGAAGACACCGCACTTTGCTGCTGCTGCTCCCCCCACTTCCCTACAGATACATGATAACTCATTTTTACCTCAATAGCAGATGCAGTCGCTTTCTTGTAAAAACCCAGAGTTTAAGGATGACTTCTTCCACTTGCCATAATCCATTGTGTGGGAGAAACAAACACACAATACCATATTGTTCCCTGTACAACACTTTGAGCTGTACTTTCTGCTCTGAACACACTGAAACTCCACTTGAGGCTACAGCAATTTCCACACAGGAGGCAAAGGAGAATCTTGTATCTGATCTAATACAGGATAAATCAATGTACACTCATTTATTGCTTATAGCTCCCATCAGCTCAAGGAGAGACACTGTCCTAGAGTTTCAAGGCTATCCACGCTGTCTTTGTATACGGAAAACATAACTCGCACTTTGAGATATTTTAAGAACCCAGCTGGAACGCTTCATAGTAGTTAGGGTGGGGGACTAGAAATCACTAAACCCTGGCTGATTCTCCCCCTTTGCAGGGGCTCACTATGCGACTTTGGGCAAGGTCACGCAACAAACGCATCCCAGGTTTCCCCTTCTATAAAATTCAGTTAATATTAGTCATTCACCTCAGATAGGTGTTGGGAAGCTTAATTAGAGTGCGACCGCACTCGGAGATTCTCAGATAAGACGTACGAGGAAAGGGCAGCATCATATTAAGTAGCGTAAGCCACGGATTCAAGTGACAACAGCGCTTCTCTGTCTCCTTCAGCTGTTGAAGCTTGAAAGAAAAATTACCCAGCACCACAATCCTTCATGTTGTGTTCAGAGTACTGGCCGCACCACAGGCGCCACGCTTTTCTGGATGCGATCTGAATTCCAGACAACTTTTCAGGATTCTGACCTTTTGGCGTGGCAGAAAATGAAAGCTTCCTAGAAGACACGTATCCCAACGCAAGACGAGGAAGGCAGAGTTTTAATATTCCTCCCCATGCAAGTATTTTTCCCTGTTAAGTGCTTAAGAGCTCTATGACTGGGGAGATTAATTTTTGCAGCTGGATATTTTCTTTAAGAATGTAATTTTCCACGCAGTTTTCTCCTTTAGTTTTCTGCACTCTAATCTCATAGCCCGCACTGTACCCAGGAGAGGTCTCTTCCGCCAAACTCTGAAAGGAGTATATTCTTGCACTCTCTTTTTTTTCCCCCCCTTTTTTTTTTTTGAAGACTAAAGTAGCAATAAGCATCATTTCAGAAGACTCTGTGACTACGTATTGCAACCAAGTAATTTATGTATTTCCAGATAGTCAACACCAGGAGCCCAAAACTAAAAATTCATTTGTCCAAGGACCCATTTTTAACAAAGCTACATCAGGGATCAAGTAAAACAAAGGGACAAGTTCATTACAAAAAAAAAAAAAAAGTGAAAGCTGATATAGCGAAACCACACACACATTTAGTGAGTGAGACGCATACGTTTAGGGTCCTAAGTGAAGGGTGCTTGTGACAATTTGGAACAGAGATTAAAATTTGGAGAAGTTCATCCGTATAGCAACACAGAACAAGAATGTAACTTTATTCTCAATCTCTGGTTCATGATTTAGCATCAAGGGGGTTCATACCCTCCTTGTCTTTCCCATAGTGTCACCTGGGAAGAGAATAAAGGGTATCTCATTACAGACAGTCACAGTTGGTATCGGGACAAACTTTTAAATAAAAGCATTGTATTTAACCTGCCAACAAATTCTCAGGTTAGGCACAATCCTATTAGGATTTAGGCAGAAGGAAGATAAAAACAGGAGAGGGAAGCAGCCTCCTGATCTTCCCTCTTTTTTTTCCCCTGACAAAAACAGGCTTTCAAATAAAAACATAAAATTATTTAGTTTCGTTAAAGTCATTCCACTCCTCACTGGGAAAACAAAGACAAGGCAGAGGGGAAACATTTGAATTCATCACAACCTGCATGAGGTGAAACTTTTTATATTTCACAGTAGATTTTCTTTACGGGCAAAGAGGAAAGCTAGAATATATGTTTTTTTCTTAAATAAGCTTAATTTTTCAAGTGATGGTGTTAGCCTTCTCACTCACTAATTTAAGCTTCCCACTTGTCAGAGATAAACATGCCTTTCAAGTTGTTTATATTAGCCTTCCTGTTTTAATCGTCGATTCCACACTTGCAGTAACCCACTGACTTCAGAAAGCTCTGTATGATGCAGAATCACTTCTACGAACAGGCTTTAAATTTTTTCCAGCGCATTCAACTTTAATACTGATTAAAATATACTGCAAAATGACTGCTCTTCAATACCAAAAGTCACTTAGTTCAAAGAACTCCAGGAAATGAGGTCTCAAAGATCATATAGCCATCTTTTAAGAACCAAAAAATTTCTGTCTTTAAGCAAGCTTTCTGTATTTCAAGGAAAGCAGATTGCAGAATATTTTCACTTATTAATACGTTCATTCTTATAGTTATGCTTTAACACAATCATATTGGCTTTAGCCAAATGATAAAACCCATACAGCTTCTTCTCTAAAGCGATGGGAGATGGGCGGAAGAAAAAGAGGAGAGCAGAGTGATTGCAGTTAGTCACAAGAAGGCCTATAAAGGCATCACTGGAGAGAGGAAGGATTCTCTTTTCTATTTAACTTAAAAATGGAAAGCTAAACTTTTAAAAGACAAACAGATGTGATAAAGCAGACACGATGGAGCAGTGCTGCAGCAGGGCTTAAAGGAATCAGCTGAGTGATTTAGCCAGGCATGTGTTTTGCAGGGACGGGAAACAGAAAAGTATCTCAATATTCAGAAACTAGCTACTAGCTCAGGAAGTTAGAGAAGGAAAAAAGTAAGGGAACCCATACAGCTGCAAGAGAGAAATCAAATGGAGGTTCAACACTGGAAAGAGGAATACTAGCCAGGGAACTCTAATTTACTAGAAGTTTTCAGCTTGTGGCACCAAGGGCTTGTAGAGGCATCACAAGACTTCTGCGTTCACCTGCAATGTCAACTGGAAGTCAAAGAGAAGTGACGAACAAAGTGGCTAAAATACACTTTGTAAGGGATAACACAAAAAAAAATTTTTAACATGACTAAATACATCTCCTGTTCCCACCTCACCTAATGAGGGCTTTAATAAAGATATATGGAGGAGAGCAATGCTTCCAAGAGATAGAAGCTTGTTTTCCCTCTCCCAATAAACATAAACTGGGTTAACCCCACTGAATACCTGGGGTTAACAGGGATACAAATAATAGGGTTTAAAGGTATTCCAGGTTCTTTGATAAGGATACAGTAAAGAATTTAAAAGATTTATCAACACATATCCTTTTCCTCATTGCAAAAGGACAGAATGAAAACTAAAAATAGGCAAAACAACAGTTGCAAAGGACAGGTGCTTTATCTAGGAAAATATTAAGTGACATAACTACAGCTGCTGCCCCTGACGGCTTGGGTCAATGGTACAGCACAGCAGGTCAGCGCCAAGAAAAGGAGCCGCTCTGGGCCAGCGCACAGGGAAGAAGCGTAGAGCTTAAGGACAGTGAGGTCACAGACGATTATGTGAAAGCCACAAAGAACACGCGTTAAAAAAGGCATCTGCAGGACCAGTTCATCCAGTGCTCTCCGGCTCGCGTGGCGCAACACAGGCGTTAGGAGTAAACAAGCAGCAAAATTAACAACTTCCTAACGCCGTTCTGCTGGGAAGGCAAATGACGGCTGCGAGAGTTTCAGGCTCTGGCAAGCACAAGACACAACAGCTCCTGCAAACTCAGAAACCAGCGAGGCCATGGCAGCGGACAGGAAACAACGGCAGAGCCGTCTTACTTTCGTTAGGCAGCTCCTCGGGCTCCAGGTCGTCGAGGGGGCCCGAGGCGCCGCTGCCGCTGTCGTCCAAGGTGAGGATGAGGGGCACGTCATCGTCCATGCTCACCGCCATGCCGGCCCCTCGGCGGCTCCCGCTCCAAGGGCTTCAGATAACGCCTTCTGCAGTCCCACGCGTAGCACGGCTTGGTCAAAATCTCCCTCCGGGAAGTCTTCCATCAGGGGTGTCTTCTAGACAGAAGCGGACAAAGACACGTGTACCCATCGCCGGAGGCCACGGCTCGGAGAAGGGGCCGCTCACCCGCTTTCGGCGAGCGCGGCGGGGCGCCGGGCCCA